TTAAATGACTTTTTGATCCTTGACATCCTGCTTGACCAAGACCACAACCAATAAATCCCTCTTTACTCTGAGGGAGATTCTGTCCAAACATGTAAACACATCTTCTATCCATAGCTACTCCTGCAAGCATTTTCTCACTTACAAATTCTTCTCTAAGATTCATTGGCCAATAAACAACAGTATTTTCTTCTAATACTGCTTCTAATCCACCACAATGGTCTCCATGTGAGTGAGTGATAATAACAGCGGTAATTGGAAGTCTGTCAACATGAGACCTGAATAACTCTAAACCAGCTTTACAACCTGGAACACTACATAATGTATCAATCACAATCCAACCTTTTTCTCCTTTAATAAAAGTCATATTAGCAATATCATATCCTCTAAATTGATATATTTTTCCTTTAATAACTTCAAATAAACCATGAACTCTATTTAACTGACACTGTCTCCAAAGACTAGGATTAACTGTTTCTGGACATTCATCTTCTAAAAAATTTGTTTCATTAATATTATAGACAATAGAATCATCTTCTGATTTGATGATTCCATCTGGAATATCAGCAATAAAACCTCTATGAGCATCATCATAATCTTGTCTATCATCAAAGTTCAAGAATTTCTTTACTCTTTGATGTTCTTCTTTAACAAATTGACAAGCCATTGAATCAAGATCTTCTATTATTCCTTTTTATACCATTTTGACATTTCGTAACTATGAAGAACAATCTTCTAAAGGTTCACAAAATGGATCTTTTAAAAAAGATAAACATTTTTACTTGTCAGTTTCAAGAAATATCAATTTTATTTAAATGTTCATTTTATGTAAAACATTAATTTCTGTTACAAACAAAAATAAATTTTGTTTTTTTATTTAAAATTTGTGATTTGTTTTTTTTTTATTAGTTAATGAACTTGTAGTTTTAGTTATCATTGATGGAAGTATTCAACCAAGTTAAAAAATCAATTGGTGACATACTTTTAAAATTTGGTTGTTATTTTCAAATAATAAAAAATGATAAGTACAATACCCAAATGATAGAATTTGAAAGAAAATCATTTCAACGAGTCAATGATGTGTTTAATTGTACAAATAATATTATTTTAAAATATAATGCAAATAATATTAAATGTAATTATTTTCAACCTAAATTATCTTCAATAAACGAAAGATGTTTAAATAAAGTTATTGACAAATCTTTTGAAAATGAATTAAACCAAATGAAAAAAAATAATATTCAAAGAAGTGATAATCAGTTGCACCGTCTTAATAAAAATTCGGTCCAACTTTTCAGAAAAGAGCTAAAAGATATCATCAATCATTATGAAAAATATATTATTACTGAAAATAATCAGGAAACATTTGTTCATGTCCCTTTTTACTGTAATCAAACTGAAAGAGTAAAAGGATTAAATGAGCTTGACCCAGAAAATCTTGTTATTGAAGAAAAAAAACCTCTACTCGAAACTCATATTAAACTCAATCAACAAGTAAAAAAAGAAAAAGATAAAATTATTCTTTCACAATTAGGAAATGTATTGTTTGATAGTGAAATTGATGATTGGAGTATTAATAACTCTGTATTTGACCAAAAAATACTTAATAAAAATCATTTAATTTTCATTGTAGAAGATGATCAAGGAAATAAATTTGGTGGATATGTACATGAAACTATTAATAAAATTGGGAAATATATCTCTGATAAACGAGCATTTATATTTTCATTACAAGCAAATGGTAAAATTGGTGGAATGAAATTTGATATTAAAGATAGTTCTCATGCATTTTATCTTGGTAGTAAATCAAGTGAATATCTTTTTGGGTTTGGTTATGGTACTCCGTGTGATATTGATATAAAAAAGAAAAACTCAAAAAATAAATCTTTATGTATTCAAAGTTCATTTAAGTATAATGGGGTTCAAAATGCATTAAGAGGAACGTCATCTTTATTTATTCCCTCAAGAGTGATTGTTATGAGGATGAATCATTAATTCAGAATATTGTCAACATTGATTTTAAATTTAGTTTTTGTATTTCTAACTACTTTCAAATAAGTATAGTTTTAAATAAATTTATTATTTATTATAGTTTTTACCCTTTTTTCTTATAAATATTTTCTTAAGAAAGTTAGAAAAAGAAATATTTTTATGATGTAAGAATTTGTCTATTATGACATTCAATTCTTAGATAATAGTAAAAAATAAATATAAAAACTATTTCTCATTTTTCTTTATTACAAAAATATAAATAGTCCAAATAATAAACCCTTCTTGACTGATTTAGAGATATATGTCTTTTGCAGTTCACTGTCAATCCAATGAAATCAATTTACTGATTTCTCAAATGCCATTTTCATTTCCTAGTATACTTGGATTAAAAGACATCATTGTTAATGATATTTTAGATATTCAAATCATTATTCAACACCTTTCTTTTGGTGGTAAATTTACAACAGAGGCTGTGACATATATTTTACAAAGAGCAAGTCAAGTATTTAAACAAGAACCTAATGTTGTTGAAATAAATTCACCATGTACAGTTATTGGTGATACTCACGGACAATTTTATGATCTTCTAAACTTTTTTTCAACAGTTTCATCTGGATGTTATGTTTGTTTAGGAGATTATGTAGATAGAGGAGACTATGGAGTAGAATTATTTTTATTATTATGTTCATTAAAAGTTGTATTTCCAAATCAGTTTGTTATTTCATTTTAAACATACAACTCTTGTTATTGGTTAATAACTTTTAAAGGTTCATTATTTTACGTGGAAATCATGAAACTCGTTCTATAACAACCCAAAACCAATTCAAGAATGAATGTTTAATGAAATACAGTGAAGATGTATACAATTCTTTTATTTCTACTTTTGAATGTCTTCCATTATGTTGTTTAATTTCTACATTACACTCTCGTTATTTTTGTGTTCATGGAGGTATTTCTGATAGATTGTCAACAATAGATGATATTAATAAATTAAATAGATTTTGTGAACCAGTACGTGATTCACCATTAGAAGATTTATTATGGTCTGACCCTTTAAATGAAGATGAAATATTTTCTGTTAGTATAGGTGATACATCAATTACATCTCATTTAAATTCATGTCAACAGAATCATTTCCCGTTTATTAAACAATCATTAAAAATGTATTTTAATGATCAAGCAATAAATAGAGTAGTACCTTGGTTTGAAACTACTTTTGTTCCTAATTGGGTTAGAAGGTATGGACATAAAATTGGTTATTCTGCTTTAAAACAATTTAATGAAAAAAATAATATTACAACCATAATTCGTGGCCATCAATATGTTAATTCTGGTTATCAGTGTATGTATTATTTAGTAGAAGAAACACCTTTACTTTGTACTGTATTTAGTGCTCCAAATTATATGGGAGAATGTTGTAATGTTGGTGGATATATTCAAATTAAAGATGACTCTTTTATTACAAAGACTTTTAAGACTGTTACAAAGAGATTTGTTGTTAAAGAGTATATCTTAAATTTTGGTGAAACTTTATTATTTGAGAAAATAGTTGGTTTAAATGTGAGCTGCTGATTGTTTTGATTTAATTTTAATTTTTTTCGTGTAATTATTGTTTATTAATTTATTTGTTAAATAATTAAATGGATAATTTCTTTTTATTGTTTTTTATTTATAATTATTATTTATTATTTGAAAATTAAGAGATTTAAGTTATTATTATATCCTTTTTTCTCATAAAATGTTCATTGAGGAGATTTGTTTATAATGATTAATCGATAAAATAATTTATAAACTCTATTTTAATATTCATTATCTCTCTTTTTATTCTCTTACTATTCTTCGTTTGTATAAATTGTATTTATTCATTAATATAAATCATCACTTATAGTGAAATATATAGTGAATAACTTTATTTAAACCATTTGAATTGGTAAAATATACTTATTTTCGTTAAAAAGAGTTTGAGTATTATTACTCATAATTTGTTGCATTTTTGAAAAGTATTTAGTAATTTATTTATAGTTTCTAGAATCATTATTTTAAATAGTTTGTATTATGTTTCTGTTTCCTATTTATTATCTTTAAATTATTACTTTTTATGAATAAGTATTTCCGAATGGCTTAATTTTAAATAGTATTCAAAATTTACTAATTTATTAAACAGATGATCATCACTTTACATACATCGATTTCTATATTTTAATACTTGTTATTTTATTTATACAACACAATTATACGTCTTTTTAAATAAATTTATTTAGAAGTGGTTCATGATACAGTTAATAATAATTCTAAATTTATTTTTATTCTAATTTATTGTATCTTCAGTTGTTTTGTTTAATTTTTATCTTTTGGAGATAATCTTTTAGAAGATTCTTTTAATTCATATTTTCAAAACAATAATTACTTTTAATGAATTTGATAATTTGCTATATTTATATATTGATTATAAGAATAATAAATATAATTTGAGAGAAGTTTAAAAAGATGTTATAAAAATTATATTCGTTTTATTGTACCAAATAAATTTTCTTCAAATAATACAGCAGTACCAAACTCAGAGTTCAACATTTCCACAATTACTATAAAAAAAATTAATAAAATTATACGTGTTAAATTCTCTAAAATTAATAATAATTTGTTTTATTGTTTTAGATAGACATATTTTCATTATTTATAAATTTGTCTTATTTTAAACGTTTATCAATTTAACAAAAACTCTGAATTGAAATTTAATGTGTAGTATTGAAATATTTTAAATAAGTAGATTATTCACACTCTTTTCATAACTTTATAATATTTTTATATTTTTATTCTACAACACCAGTTTAAATTTAAAGATATTTTGTTTAAATAAAATCATTCTTTAAATATTTTTAGAGGATTTGAATATTAATTTGTATCTTTTTTATTTAGTTGTGCTATTTTTCCTTATTTTTTTCTCATACAAGTAATTTATATTGAATACTTTCTTATTGTGTACTAATTTATCTCTTATTATCTAAGAAGAAAAAAGTATTTGTTCATACAATACATTTTTTAACTCAATAAAATAAAAACATTTGTTTGTTTAATATTTTGGTATATCTAAATTTTTGTTTCAACTAATTTTAACTCTTTTTTAACAATGGAATAGAAACCTATGCCCATTTAATGATGGTGTTGTATTAAACACTTTAAACAATATTGTGTATTGACTTATTATTTTGAAAGAATTTATATTTATTGTGGGAGTTATTAATTTAAAAGAAATGAAGTGATATGTTTGAATCTTGTAATAATTTAGTAAAACAAAAAGAAATTATTCGATGTGTTTGATGATTAAAGTGAATAATTTCTCATTCTAACTAAGTACCACATCTTTTCATCTTGCTTTTACATATTTAATTGAATATCCTCTAAGAATATCAACGGGTATGAAAGCTTTTCAAGAATATAAAAATTAGTTCAAATAAATTATAATAACCCTTTATGTCAAAATAAATTATGGGGATGAATAATTATTTTGCCACTCATCTGTTAGTTAATAAATAACATAATTCAATACAGAAAAAAAAATTATTTTTTACTATAGAAAGCTATTTTTAAATTTTTAACAGTGAATTTTCAAAAAAGAACTTTATGTTTTTTTTTAAAACGATAAAGTCCTTAGAAAAATTGTTAAAAGGTATGACTTCGCTATGAAACAAGAACTATTCAAACACAACTAGTATCGAAAGATTATTTTTGATGGTTTAAAAAAACGATAACAACAAGAAGTTCTTTAAATAAATCAAAAATATTTTACTAGAAAATTCAAAAAGATGTAAGTCAAAGAAAAAGAGAGAACTAAAAATATACGGTTAAAAGAAAAATAATTTTTTCTAAAACTATAATAACAAACTATATTTTAATAATAAATAAATCATTAAAAAAAAAAAAGTAAAAGAAAAATTAAAACAAAAACAAACGACACGAAAGAACTAAATAATTTTGAAAACTTAAATATTCAATAACAATGACAAGTGTTATAAGAGAAGCTGTTTCTAAAGCCAAAAGAAGATACCAACAATTTGGATTTGATTTAGATCTTTCATATATTACACCACGAATTATTGCTATGGGATTTCCAAGTGAGAAATTTGAAGCTGCATATAGAAATCCGTTAGTTGATGTGTTACAATTTTTTGAAACATTCCATAAAGGACATTATAAAGTGTACAATTTCTGTAGAGAAAAACCGTATGATGGAGAACATAAAATTAAAGGAGAATATGAATATTTTCCATTTGATGATCATAATGCACCAGAATATCAAATTATTCCACAACTTTGTAAAGATGTAGATGATTATTTAAAAGCGGATGAAAGAAATGTTATTGCACTTCATTGTAAAGCAGGAAAAGGAAGGACAGGATTAATGAGTGCATGTTTTTTGGTTTATATGCTTGATTCATTAAATGCACATGAAGCGATTGATTTTTATGGAACAACAAGAACATTTAATAAAAAAGGAGTTACGATTCCATCACAACTTAAATATATTAATTATTGGAGTGCGGCATTAAAATATAGATTTAATATTGGAGAAAGAACAGTTAAAATGGTTAAAATTGAAATGACACCAACACCAAGAATTGGAGAAGAAATTTTTGTAAAAGTATCAACATTTAATGAATTTGTATGTGAAAAATCACTTACAAATAATAGAAAATTAACATTTAAACCAGCTA